CATAAAAATTATGACTAAACATGAAATGATTTTCACTAAACAATCTACATAAAAACATTTGAATTGAAGTTTACGAATGCACAAAGTAAATGAGCTCCTGAGCATTGATTATCTGTCAATTTTAAGAAGACCCATCTTTATTTTTTGAGGTCATGAACCAATTTTTATCTCCCCTTATCCTAGTTTTAAGTTGAATATTTTTCAACCCATACTACTAATTGTTGATTACTATGTTTCATGTATTGTAAATTCACATTTTTTATTTTATTTTTCCCCAGGCTCCTGAATGACAAACCTTTGCCAGAAGGTTGGGAGATGAGGTTCACTGTGGATGGGATTCCTTACTTCGTAGATCATAACAGGAGAACAACAACCTACATTGACCCCCGCACAGGAAAATCCTCACTGTAAGAATCTCAAATGAAATGCAGCCTTTAGAAGATCAGAGCATTTGCTGGTCATCAAACAGTTGTAACACTACTCTTTGATCAGTTATGTTTACATTGGTAGGGTAGGGGTTAACATTGCTTCCCACAATAAAAGAAAAACATGTTTTACAGTTGTATTTAAATGTTTAAGTTCTCTTTTAAAAGTAAATTATTTGTTTGTCTTTCCCTGCAGTGAAAATGGCCCACAGATAACCTAYGTCAGGGATTTTAAAGCTAAAGTACAATATTTCAGGTTCTGGTGTCAGGTATGTACTTTTACTCACCTCAGTGTGAACTTTTAGCTTTGTGATAATTATTTTGCCATTATTTCAATATATGTTACATTATTACAGCATCTAAAGACAACATRCTCAGTTTCTACATTCTACCTGTCTTAAATCTAATTTGTTTCATGTTTTTTTTTTCTTTTAGCAATTGTCAATGCCTCAGCATATCAAGATTACTGTGTCAAGAAAAACATTGTTTGAGGATTCATTTCAACAGGTAAGCCAATCAAATGATGTTCTTTATTCCTGGGTTTAACTWTGACATCTTGTTTTAAGTGTGTGTAACTGATTTAATTGTGGGTTTTGCTTTCAAAGATYATGAGTTTCCACCCTCAAGATTTAAGGCGGAGACTTTGGATTATATTTCCAGATGAAGAAGGTCTGGACTAYGGAGGTGTGTCCAGGTAATTTCATTTTTATTTATTTATTTTTTTAATCTGTGCAGGTGTGTCCAGCCGTATGACTATCGGGGTGTGTATTGCTCCCACTTGTAGCTTTTACTTGACAACACCCAAGCTTCACGAAAAGCTAATCCTGTTCTAAAAATAACAGCATACCATCTTATGATTCCTCATGGAAGTCCTGAACATCAAGATATTTTATGACTCACTTATGTCTACTTCCACCACTTGCACTTACACRCCGTTTCATTCTTTGTGGTTTTTCTTTCAGAGAGTGGTTCTTCTTGCTTTCTCATGAAGTGCTGAATCCCATGTATTGTTTGTTTGAGTATGCTGGCAAGGACAACTACTGTCTTCAGATTAACCCGGCGTCCTACATCAACCCCGATCACCTCAAATACTTCAAGTTCATAGGGCGCTTCATTGCCATGGTACCTGTTCTGTTTATTTTTTAACAAAATTTGTTAGTCTTTGCTAGCCTGCTGGTTAGTTTTACACAACTGTATTTCAAGTTCATTTTCTATGATTAGAACCTAAAATCATAATACAGTACCTACAGGCCAGTGAACATGCCTTGTAGTTCTGAAGAAAGTGAATTATTTTAATTTAATTACATAGACATATTATGGCAATTTCACTGCTGTAATATTGAAACATTTTTCTGTTGAGAGCTTGCTGTTTTCTGAACGCATCTCTTTTCTCACACACGTCTGTGTTTTTTTCTCTCTAGGCCTTGTTTCATGGGAAATTCATCGACACGGGTTTCTCGCTGCCTTTCTACAAGCGTATTCTGAACAAACCGCTGGCTCTCAAAGACTTGGAGTCCATAGATCCAGAGTTTTATAATTCTCTCATATGGATCAAGTAGGTAGCTCATAAACATCTGCATTAAAAAAGTAAACTTGCTGACTTGTTTATTTTGCCATCTTATGTGTTTGATATGTGCCACTCACTGCTGAATGTCAAACAAAATATTTGGCGTTTTCTTAGCTCATTACTCAGTTTCTGATCTTCAGCAGGATTTGTTTCCTACTGATAATGACTGTAAGTTCCTGTGGCCTGTAGGGATAATAATATAGAAGAGTGTGGACTGGAGATGTTCTTCTCTGTGGACAAGGAGATCCTGGGCGAGGTCACTACACACGAACTGAAACCAGACGGAGGGAACATCCAAGTAACCGAGGAAAATAAGGAGGAATATATCAGGTGCAACTGTGTTTTCTGCTGCTTCTCACCAAATAATGTAACTATTTTTACATTCTCCCGAATGTAATGTTAACGTAAGTGGGTTGTCTTTATTTCTGAGCACAGACTGGTGGCTGAGTGGAGACTGTCGAGAGGTGTGGAGGAGCAGACACAGGCGTTCTTTGAGGGTTTTAATGAAGTCCTTCCACAGCAGTACCTTCAGTACTTTGATGCCAAAGAACTGGAGGTACAGATGTAACTAACTGTAACTTTCAAAAAGCTGGAATGTTTGATTTTTTTGGTCTGTGTAGACCATACTTTTTATATGTATGCATGTAACTAAGCCTAACTTCACCACAACTTTTTATCTTTTACATTTGGTCTCATTTCACTTTTTAAAAACAACATATACCTTTTTAGGTGATGCTTTGTGGAATGCAAGAGATAGATCTGGTGGACTGGCAGAGAAACACAATCTACAGACATTATGCTCGAAGTAGCAAGCAGATCCTTTGGTTCTGGCAGGTTTGTTTTGAACACATAAACATTACCGTTAGTAGTTTTGTAAAATACACATTCAAACTAGTGAAAATCTATAAGGCTGTTTTCAAGCTCATTAAATCATTACAGTGTTAGGAAATATTTTTCTGATATTAAAACACATGTTTTGTTGGCAGTTTGTGAAAGAGATGGACAATGAAAAAAGAATGAGACTCCTGCAGTTTGTTACTGGAACCTGTCGTCTTCCTGTGGGTGGCTTTGCTGACTTAATGGGTATGAAAGAAAAAATACATGACACATTCCACTGCATGTTGTATTTTTCTGTGAAATACCATAATTTCTGTCTAAAATTGTTTGTTACTTTGTGGCTAAAAAATACAGGAAGCAATGGCCCACAGAAGTTTTGCATTGAGAAAGTGGGCAAAGAAAACTGGCTTCCACGAAGCCACACGTGGTAAGACCAGTTTCCCCATTGTTTTGAGGTCTTTTAGCTGAAAGTATACATGGTTTGAATTTAAAAAAAACTGATGGTAGATTTAAAATCAGATCATTTCAGTCATATCTCATCCCTTGATTTCCTATTAAAATCAYAAGTTTAAATGTTGAGGTGTTTATGCAGATGCTCTTACACCATGCCATGTTACATTACTATAGTCCCAAAAAAAAGGTTAATGATTATACAGTATTTTAAGTCTTTGTGTGAAGTTTCACTTTTTTTGTTTTTGTTTTTTTTTAGCTTTAATCGTCTGGACCTTCCTCCTTATAAGAGCTATGAGCAGCTGAAGGAGAAACTCATGTTTGCCATAGAGGAAACAGAAGGATTTGGACAGGAGTAACGCAACAAGAGTTTCCCAACAACCTGCAGAGGGAACAAAGAAGTCGTGGCTTTTAAGGAGCCATATCTATTTAAACTATAAAAGCACTTTTCCAGCAGATTCTCTCTCCAACAAAAAAGATGCTCGTAATCAAGTCTTAAGAGCATCTTAAAAAAACAAATCAGTTTTCTCAACAAATTTAAATTTTCCACAAGGGACCTGCTGATTTTCTGCACCATGTTCTTTTTACCTTTATGGTGCGTACTTATCTAATCCACTTGATTTCACTGTGCTGCACACAACCCCCACTGGCAACAGAGAGAAAGGAGATTTCTCTCGTCCCATCATGTCTGCACTTGCTGTATGTTAAGTGTAGTTTCTACACGTATAACAGAGTCTGTGCAGCAGGCATTTCCTAAGAATGTCCTCGTTGATTTGATTCACCACTAAAATGTGAGAAGAAAAACCTGTCTGAACCGTTCACCTTCGACACAAATACTAGCATCTAAAAAGAAAATCTCTTGTGATTTGGGCTGTCTAAGACATGTTTCTTTCTGTTGATGGAAAATGGAAATAGTTAATATTTTTGTAATGACTGACAATATTGTCTYCTGTAGCATATATGCATTTTTTTAATCAACTTAGATAATTGTTACGATTCTTATTGCAATAATGCTTTCTGTTATTTTTGGCATAATTAATTCTTAGTTTTATACTGAGTTCAAAAGTTAAACTAGTTTGCACATGGGTTTTCTGAGTGGTGTGATTGTTCTTAAGAGAGGCTATTTTTATGTGCAATCGTTTTGTAGAAGACATTTTTGCCAATGATCGAATCAGACTTTCAGTGCTTTGTTCAGTCAGTTTTTGCTAAGCCTTTGGGAAGACTTAGAATTCACWGTTTGTTTCAACCCCAATGTGAAGTACATAACATTTAGCATATTTTAAAATGTATTTGGTGGGATTGTTTTGGTTATTATGTACTTTACAACATTTTACCTTCCCATAACAGTCACTGCTGTATATACATTACAAGCTTTTTAGACCAAGAAAGCTCACCTCTTTGTCAGTCAGGGAAATAGAAACTGTGATTTTTGATTTCATTAAGCTGTTACTGATGACGTGGGACCTTAAGAATATGTGTAGTTGTTAAAGAGGAGTGGTCTGTTAAATAATGAACACCTCTTATTGAATCGTTGTCAGTTTTGTGCTGGTTGTTAAGTAAGAAAGTGTTTTCCTTAACAATAGCCCTTAGACTTTGTAGAGCGTGACTTTGTTCGACAGGGCAGACTTCTCGGACTTGATCTAAATCCCATAACTGTCATGAAAATGCAAATTCCTAAAGGTTTCAACGGTTGATTCATACARCTTATGTAAATACTCTGACAAGGCATAAAACAGATCTGTTGATACATTTAAATCACCCAGACAGCGGAGCTCTTTAGGACCTATGATTAAGGTTCAGATCCATTTCAAGAAACCCTAGTTTTATAGGGAGGGATGATTTTTCTGATCTGGATTTTGGTTTCTTTTAGTTGAACCAGACTACTCTAGGATGTAACAAATTCATTTACAAACCTTTTAAGGGAAGTTACCTTTTTAATATCACACACACAGTCTTATATTTTTGTCTTTTATTTGACTAACTAACCTTCATTATAGAATTTGTACATAAGTCCAGCTGTTTATTTTTATATGTCTGTAATAAGCTGCCAACTTAAATCTTGCTTAGAAGTTGTTCATGGTCCCTGGATTTTATTTCGCTCTGACATCTGTGACATTTGAAATTATGAGAAAATTAAAAAGATCAGCATGCAATTACAATAGATTTGTTTCTTATTCAACAAGAGTTAAACAAGCTTCATGCGTTTCCTTTTTGAAACATTTAGAGCAGGACAACAATGCAATTTACTCCACATCAGGTGATTTATGGGAGTAGTTAACAACTAAAATTGCTGCCAGAAATAAAATTTGCATTGACTTCAATAATATGCCTGTTAATAGAACTGATTTATATTTATTCTAAATTGTATTTRTGTGCATCTGCTTTTGTTGTTTAATTTAAAATGATCTGAATTCATAATGCAAAAAACTTGAGTGACTTATTTTCAGAGCTTTAAATGGTGACAATGTGTACAGGCAGAATGATTCAAAYTATTTTCTACAATTGTGTGCCCCATGTGAAAATGCAAAAAATAATAAAATTGCAAACTTCCCTTTAATTTCCATGTAAATAGAGAAAAAAGCAGATTATTGATTTTACTCGAATGTACCCACATATTTTAAACATCATAWTTTGGTTGTACTAACTGACCTGATCTCTGACTTTGTGCAGCACTCCTTCACATTCTGATCTTTTCCCACTTTGTCTTTAACTGCATCCAGTTCTTCACTTGATCTTAGATGTATTCTTTCACCTTCATCCAGTTCGAGCACAAGGACTGTTCAGCTACTGCTGTGCAAAGAGATTATTTTTAGGGTGGGGGGTTTACTGTTTAATATTGTAACAGATTACAATTTATAGCAGCACATTGACACTTAACTGATTGAATTAACCACTTTTTTAAAGCCACACTATGTCCCTGATCACAGGGCAGAAAATTGTACAGAAATATGCAAAAGTGTATTTTARTAGTACAAATTACATTGCAACTCAATGTCCAATTGTGTAATCACTGTTTCCCTTTTTTTTCTTAGCTCTAACTTTTGATAAGTGAAAGTCAGTGGGTGAATATTATTTATTAAGAACATGAGTTGTATGTATTGTTGACCAGGGTTGATTGATGACAATAAAAAACTAACTAAATGCTGAAAGTGTAGTAATATTTGAATTTTCCTAATTATATTTTACTTTCCATAAACCAGACTTGTGTAACCTTCTGAAAGTTGTTAATCTCAAAATATCTTCAGATTTCCTGAAGATCTTTCAGTTTTTTTTATTTTCATTGTCAGTTATATTCCAAATGACTGTTTTCAAAAGAATGTTTGTTAATCCACATTAATGCATGATCAATGCATTATTTGAGAATACAAAGGCACCCAACCCATGAGCTGAACCAGTGTGTCTACTGCACTAAACAAACAACTTAAAGAACCGGAWATAAAGTGAAACTTTGCATTTACCTGCAGCCTTTGACAAAGGTGCAGAAGAGGAATTGATCTCCATCTTCTTCCACTTCTCCGTAGTCGGGTCGCAGAGGCAAAAGGTCCAGGAGAGAAACCCAGACATCCCTCTCCCCAGCAACACTTTACAGCTCGTCCTGGGGGACCCTGAGGCGTTCCCAGGCCAGAGAGGATACATAACCCCTCCAACAAGTCCTGGGTCTTCCCCGGGGCCTCCTACCAGTGGGACATGCCCGGAACACCTCTAAAGGGAGACGTCCAGGAGGCATCCTAACCAAATGCCGAACCACCTCAACTGACTCCTTTTGATGTGGAGGAGCAGCAGCTGTACTTCGAGCTCCCCCCCGGATGACAGAGCTCTTCACCTTATCTCTAAGGCTGAGTCCGGCCACCCTACGAAGGAAGCTCATTTCGGTCACTTGTATCCGGGATCTCATTCTTTCAGTCATGATCCACGTCTTATGACCATAGGTGAGGGTTGGAACGAAGACAGACCAGTAAATCAATTTGCTTTGCCTTTTGACTCAGCTCTTTCTTCACCATGACTGACCAAAGTAATGCCCTCATTACTGAGGATGAGGCCCCAATCCGTCGATCCATCTCCTGCTCCATCCTACCATCACTCATGAACAAGACACCCAGATACTTGAACTGCCTCCTTGAGGCAGAGACTCACCCCCCGACCCAGCCAACAGAACCACATCATCTGCATACAGCAGAGATGTAGTGTTTCTTCCACCGCCCAACGCTATCCTTCCACCAGCCAACGACATCCTCAGTCCTGGTCAGCAGTTCCTCACCCAAGCCAAGCAGCATGGGACAGGGAATGCTTTCCTTTTCTGAGTCATCGAACAGTTTGCCAGAACCGCCTCGAGGCCAACTGAAAGTCCTTCACCATGGCCTCACCGAATTCCTCCCACACCCAAGTTTTTACATCTGCAACCACCGAAGCTGTAACCCTCTTTGCCACCCTGTACCCGTCAGCTGCTTCAGGAGTCCTTTGGGAAAGCCAAGTCCGGAAGGCCTCCTTCTTCAGCCTGACAGCCTCCATCACTGCTGGAGTCTACCAGCGAGTCCTTTGGTTTCTGCCGAAACAGGCACCAATGACCTTCAGGCCACAGCTCCTGGAAGCCGCATTTGCAACGGAGGCCCTGAACATGACCCATTCAGATTCCATGTCCTCGAAATGTGAAAACTCTCCCAGAGGTGGGAGTTGAAGATCGCACGGACAGGGGGCTCCGCCAAATGTTCCCAGTTTACCCTCACTATACATTTGGGTTTACCAGGTTTGTCTGGCAGCCTCCCCCGCCACCGGATCCAACTCACCACCAGGTGGTGATCACTTGACAGCTCTGCCCCTCTCTTCACCCGAGTGTCCAAGACATAGGGCTGCAGGTCTGACGACACGATTACAAAATCGATCATCAACCTCTGGCCTAAGGTGGCCTSGTACCAAGTACACTTATGGGCCACCCTATGCTCAAACATAATGTTCGTTTTGGACAACCTGTGCTTGGCACAGAAGTCCAATAACAAAACTGTTCGGGTTCAGATCAGGGAGGCCTATCCTCCTAATCACCCCCTTCTAGACTATTTTTTTAATTTTTATTTGATCCACATAGAGACTCAAAGACTGATGAGCTGCAAACTTTGGATACAAACTGAAAGGTGACTTAGCTTAGGTC